TGAATAAATTAGGTTTTATATAAATTCACGAAATAATAAAATCATTATTGCGAAATATCCAGACATTGCGAAAAGCATTTGCAACAACATACGCTTTAGACCAACGTGGAAGAAAACTGCGATGGAGCTTAGTATTTTAGGTCCACCAATGGAAGATGTAGGCAAGTGGGTAAAGGCAGGAATTATCTATAACACAAAATACAAAATATCTTAAACTTTTATTTTATATTTCTCTTTCAGGTTTTGTCACAAGCACAGCGCAATTCAAATCAAACGGCGGTGATCCTTGCTTACTTCAAATGCTTAGTCCAATGGAGCAAGCTATTGATCAGTTTGTGGTCTTAAATGGGGCCGGCGAATGAAATCAGTAATTTCGAAATGAGGCAAAATGCTGTGGATGAGGCAAAATGCTGGAAATGGCAGTGCAGAATAGAAAGAAGAAGAAGTTTGTCTGCTGCTAACTAGTAAAAAACGGAAACAGGCAGCCTCTTACCAGAAAATACTTGAATTACTAAAGGCACAAACAAATGCTTAAGAGCTGTTTTATAAAGATGTGTCTAGGCGCCCAGAAAATATTAAATACTTTTTAGTGAAAAAAGGGAGTAAAAAGTAAGAGTATTGTATAATAATATTGTATAATAATTGTATAATAAACAGTGTAATAAGTTGGTCAAAATAATAGTAATTAAGAAAACCTAAGTAGTTGGATTTACAAATGTATCTAAGTGTGCAAAATAGTCTAGAGTTAGAAAGCTATTAGGTGCTATTAAGGTTTTTTACTTCTTTATTCAATCTTATTCATTCACATACATTACTGCAATTGATCTATAAGTACGCGATGGCGGTAATGAAATACATGCAAGGTCGTCAATTCTAGCAAAAATTGACAGCGCATGAAGCACAGCACTGATATCACAGATTTCATGGACATTATTTCATGCACATTGTTTTCTGATTTTATACAATTGCACTCCAAGTCGCATTTAAATTCAGTGATGGCAAATCCACGATAATTTGAAAAGCATTTATTGAAACCGTTCTACAGATTGCTAGGCAACCAAATAATACATACTAGGATAAAGTGATTTACCTTAAGCCAACCATAGACTTGGCTGTCCCATATCATACAGGCACTTCCTTAAGTTGCACAGTCAACATTAGGACCACAATATGTGGTGCGCACAAAACACCTGCTTAGACCCTACTCACTTCGCAGCACTCGTCGAACCTGTCCCACCAGACCAGATAGTCGTAGCAGAATATTACGCGACAAGCCGCTTTTTTATGGTTAGAAACAGGTACTTGATTTGCCAAAACACCCAAATATGTATCCAACATCTGTAAGTTAAATCTCTTTTTAGGCCGATTTATTAAGACCGTTTTTTTGTAACTAAGTCCAGGTGACTTCAGAAGTACTACTTCTCTTCCAATTGTCCATTCTACAGGAAGGCATCCCTCAGCGAAACACATAACATGGGACCTTTAAAAAGTCTAATATATCCTTCCAAATACTTTTACAGATCTCACCATTTACACCATCTAACTTTTAGAATTACCTTGATTTGTGTAAGCGAAATCTGCCCGCAATTTACTTCTTCTAATAGAGCCAAAGGTAATATCAACATGAATGAATGTGACTTTCTTCTACCACGGGATGAAGTTTTCAAGCAAGGCACCCACATATTCCACATCGAGACGAATGTAGCATCTCTCTGCACCAGATCTCGAATGATGCATTCACGTCCAAGCCCAGGATAACTGGCGTAGAGCTAGTTAGTAGCAATACCGTTTCCATAAATCGATGATATGGTTCCAGTGGCTCTCCATTTTTGCAACAGACTACAGAACAGTATTCTGCTAAGGTTCTTTTCCAATGACATGTACATACACTACCTCGTGGAAGTAGCCATTAAGGCTTTATTTTCATTGCCGTTTACTTCTACCGCAGCACAATATCTGGAGTTAAGGAATGAACGCATCTTACTGGGCAGCTTTTTAATACTGCCCGTTCGATGTATATGGTTCCCGTAAACTACTCGCAACACTACACTCTCTTTCACATACAGTCACACCAAACTAATACATTAAATTATATACTTCTAGACAAATCAATTGCAGTATATGTGCAGTCATTCGTACAAGCTATCACCTTAGCACTATATCACTATATAAATTGCAAGCTACCGATATTATAAGAAGGGCGGATGGCAAGTCCTTCAATGCGCAGTTTCGATAACTGTTTGCATTTATGCATTCAATTGCTATGTAGCAGATACACAGAAGCTTAAATAGAAAAACAAGCAGATAAACCGACTTTTTGGAAGATGAACAGACAAAAAAACATATAGACAAATAAACGAAGGGACAAAAGAATAGAAACACAAATATATAGACAAATAAATTGACAATCAAATAGACACATAAATGGACAGACAGGCAACCATACAAACGGGATTACAGTGTTAGAATGGCAGACAAAAGCTGATTTGTATCGATTAATTGAGATAACTCGAGATAATTAAGATGACATATTATTCAAAAATATCTAAGAGGTATTAATATACTCTTGTTATATTATTTGCGTGAAGCATACAACAATTTATTTAAATATGGACGATGTTTTTAATAACATAGCCTCATAAAGATGGAAGTTGTATGGAACAGGGTGTCTTGTACCAAAAACAGATATATGGGGGAGCGATGGTTTGATTCAATAATTCAAAAAAATCATATAAAAAGGAGGGACTTCAATATTAAACTAGAAAACTTAGACAAACTTAAAATCAGCTTTCGATTATTTTTTGGAAAAATTATCTTTGAAACCTATGGAATACTCTTTCAATTTACTATTCTGCAGGTAACAAGTTTCAGCTCTAGGATTCGTATGCCATGAAACTATGAACTAATAACTCCTTAAATAAAAATAAACAATGAATAAAATTCTACTTCATACTTTGCTTTGGCAGTAACATAAAGTATTTTGTTGGGTTAATGGTGAAACCAAATATTGGAATTTGTATAATGTAGGTATTCCTAAAACGAAATCATTACTTAATCTGTACGTCTCGACATTCCTAATGGTCGGGACAATAGTTTGTATAATGCTCCATATATTTAGCAAAAATGTTTTAAACACTTTCGTTCTAACCTATAAAATTGAAGACATCTTTTTGAAATGACTTACATTCCTTTCAGATCAACGGTGTTATATGCAATTAGAATTCTTGAATATTCTATAAATCTGATAGCTGTTGTTGTAAGTTATCGTTTTCCTCTTTTTAGATACTTCTTAGTAAATGTAAGTCATAACTCATCCATTTTTTGGTTGCATTAATACTATCGTTTTCCATGAACATTTTTAAAACTCTGTAAGTGGCTTTCAATTTGGATTTCATTGCAATCAAACCGTATTAAATTTCGATTTTATCCTAGCAGTCTACGTCCTAGCAGACGTAGATCAAATAGCTTCATGTTTTTGAAAGCAAGCAAAAAACGTACCTATATATCTGATAAAAGCAAATTATTTGGATTGAGTTCATCGCCATTCTTAGCTCAATCTTTGTTGAAAAAATTGGCGGAACTAATGAGAAGCTCACACAAATAGTCATCGATGTTGGGTTCCAACTTCCAATATTTCATTTTGAAAGATTTTGAAAGGACTTATTTTTACAATAAAATATAAATGATTTATCGAGATGAAACTTAACAAAAGAGACTATAAGCCAAACAATTTAACAACAAACAGAGACTCACAAGCTTGGCATATTTAGCGCCGATTTTGCATTTTAGTAGGGCTTTCATATTAATGAATCCGCCAACAGTGGACAGCACAAGTGCATAGTAAAGCGATTTGGAAGCAGTTTGTCAAGTAATACGTAGCAATTTCAATTCACTACTTAAAGTGCGTGGATGACATTGACAATACTAAATGAGGCGATACTGTGACCATACATAGTGATGAAAAACATCATGGGTGTGACAGGGTGGTTATTGGCGAAGATCGTGGTGACAAAAATGAAAGCCAACACTTAGAGAAAAATGTGACACCGCGTTATCTCAGAATGGTTACAGGCTCCTCGGGAAGATATGCAGATCTGAGGTCAATTATTGCTTAGTCTGATGAAGTGATAAACAATAATCCAGTCAAGGTGTAAAAAGGAGTTTTAAAAATATCTCGAGCTAAGAAAGAGTAAAAGTGCTCAAGTGCACTGGCTCAAATAGAAATAAATAAATAATAAAATATAATAAGTTGACAGCTGTAATATCGTATAAAATGTGGTTTGTAATTTTGCAGTTAAGATTAAACCAATTTGAGTTTCTTTTTTATGTATTTATGGGTCAATGTAATATGCAAAAATTTTTTATTTGCTATTTTTTTATAAAGCATCCCAAGCTTTATTTAAGGTGTTCGATATTTTTGAGTCATACAAGTTTTGTACGATAACACAAGAATCCGTTATAATCTAACTCAACTGAGTATATGCTATGCAGAAAATAAAGAAATGTGCTTTTTTAAGTTATATATCTCGTCGTATTTAGTACATGTAAAAGGAAATAGGATATACATTTCAGTGCATGTAAGAGAATGTATCAAATCGTTCTGACTTATTTATTTAAGTCATATACGTATTTCTTTTCTTACTTGTACTGCTTTGTACTTGTAGAGACTGTATATTATTTAGAATTTTAGACCCAATTTTTATTCCTCTACACTTTTTAAGCACATCAACCCAAATTTTAATTAAAATAAAAATAATTAATTTCATCTCTGCACAGAGCTTGTCACTTTTTAATTAAATATACACAAATATTGTTTTAAGATAAATTTCACCCAGTTGCAAGTCACTCGTTATCGGTATATTTTTTCGGCTGAGTTTACTAAAAAACATGCAAAAACATTACTTTAATGAAGTTTTGATGAAATTCCAGTCGCGGTTATCTAAGAAATACTCTAAATTTATATAAAAGATGGAACAAGCTGCTTTTCGCAGTGATCATAAATTCGCGTAACAAACAGCAGTTCACACAGTAAAAACTTCAGGAAACTTTAATTGCGTAGAGAAAACCAGAAAAAGGGATGAGAGTACTCTTAAGTAAGAATCACATTTTTTAGATGATTTTCTAAATTTTAATTTTTCTATTATTTCTGACCCTACATAGTACTTTTGGGCACTTTGTTAACCCTTGCGATTGTTAGCAATGCCGCCACAATTGATTCACAATTATACAGCCAATACCTTTGCCGCTCAAGGGCTGATGGATTTAAGGCTATTGTTCCTGGCAGCTGTTCCCAATATTATGAATGCCAAAATAGCGTCAGTATTTTGAACACTTGTCAGGACTATTACGATCCAGTATCGCAAAGTTGTGTTGTAGAGTCAAATGGTTGCACTGAAGTACAACCTGCGGTGCCAACTCCGCCCGCTGGATGCCAGGGAGCTTGTTGTAATCAATATAGTGGATATATTGTATCCCCAACAAACCCCGCACAATATTATCAATGCAAAAATTTCGCTGTATTGTTATCGGGCACTTGCGAAAATGGACAAGAATTTAATTTAGCAAAAAAACAATGCGATGTTGCCTCACAATGCGGTGGTAGTAGTTGTGACGAAACCACAACAACCTGCACCACCACTACTTGTGCTCCCATCACTACAACAACCTGCACCACCACTACGTGTGCTCCAATAACGACAACCACCTGCACCACCACTACTTGTGCTCCAACTACCACAACTACGTGTACTACTACTACATGCGCTTCTACCACAACACCAGTTCCAGAAACCACAACAACATGCACCACAACTACTTGTGCTCCCATCACGACAACCACCTGCACCACCACTACTTGTGCTCCAACTACCACAACTACGTGTACTACTACTACATGCGCTCCTACCACAACTCCAGTTCCAGAAACCACAACAACATGCACCACAACTACTTGTGCTCCAATCACGACAACCACCTGCACTACCACTACTTGTGCTCCAACTACCACAACTACCCCAACCGCTCCAACCACCACAACTACGTGCACCACTACTACATGCGCTCCTACCACTACTCCAGTTCCAGAAACTACAACAACATGCACCACAACTACTTGTGCTCCAATCACTACAACCACCTGCACCACCACTACTTGTGTTCCAACTACCACAACCACTCCAACTACCACAACCACCACAACTACGTGTACCACTACCACATGCGCTCCTACCACTACTCCAGTTCCAGAAACGACAACAACATGTACCACAACTACTTGTGCTCCAACTACCACAACCACTCCAACTACTACAACCACCACAACTACGTGTACCACTACTACATGCGCTCCTACTACTACTCCAGTTCCAGAAACTACAACAACATGCACCACAACTACTTGTGCTCCAACTACCACAACCACTCCAACTACCACAACTACGTGTACCACAACCACATGCGCTCCTACCACTACTCCAGTTCCAGAAACGACAACAACATGCACTACAACTACTTGTGCTCCAACTACCACAACCACTCCAACTACCACAACTACGTGTACCACTACCACATGCGCTCCTACCACTACTCCAGTTCCAGAAACTACAACAACATGTACCACAACTACTTGTGCTCCAACTACCACAACCACCTGTACCACCACTACGTGCGCTCCTACCACTACTCCAGTTCCGGAGACGACAACAACATGCACCACTACTACTTGTGTAATCATTACTACAACTACTTGCACCACTACAACTTGTGCTCCAACAACAACTCAAGCTCCATGTACGACCACCACCTGTGCTAGCAATCTTAACATTCCTGTTGTAGCTCCACTTAAACCAGTAGTTCACGTGAAACCTCCAGCTTACCCTGTTCCTTCTCACGAATCTCACGAGAATCACGAATCAAGCATTGACTATCATAACATTTACAATTGTCGCGGAAAACCGAATGGTTTCATGTTAGCTTCAATTCACAGTTGCAATGACTACTATATCTGTCGTCATGGTGAGCGCCTTCCAGTAAGTTGTGGTGATAAATACTTCAACGCCTTAAGAGGTATATGTGATTTACCTGAGAACACAAATTGTGTACAAGCAGCCGAAAAAAAGAATACTTTTACGAATTTCTCTTCAAATCTTAGAGTAGATCACTGAAGATCTTCAGTGAAATTGAGTGAGAATACAAGTTGCTACCGAATCTATAAATAAAAATTTTCTATGCAAATTAATTAGTTTATACGGTTTTTTAATTATCAAAATTCTCTTAATAAGATTTCCATAGGCAAGATTTCTTAGTATTGGTGCTATTGGTGGCTAAGCAACCAGAACACAATTTTACGTTTCGCTGCACTAATTATGAAGCATTTACTTACGAGTATATTTCGAAACACAAACAAAGCTACTCTGACTGCGATTTGGTAGTACTGAACTGTAGTGCATCTGTTAATCCATTTCTGCCTCCATTTCTAAATATGCGCTCTGCGTTTTGAGTAGGTAAAATCCTTTCTAATTCTACAGTTCTGGAATTTTTTTCTGAACGCATAACCCGAACGTAAAAGAGTGGAAGAATGCAGTAGTCAGAAATGAAAACTGTTGAAACTTTATATCAACGATCTCCAAGGAAACAACAACAAGTAGCAACGGTGCACTGTTGAATGAAGTAGCCGGCATTAGCAGCAAATGTCGGAGAAACAGCAATTGTGTTTGTGTTACTGGCAACTGGCAAGTACCAACTGGCAAGTACCAACTGGCAAGTAGCAACTCTTAGCTCTCCAAACTATAATGAAAGCAACAGCAAACACATCAGCAACAATTGCATCAGGTAACAAAAGGTGCATTTCATTTAATTTTGTTGCTCTTGTCGTTTTTGTTTTCATTGTTGTGTTTGCTGGTGCTTATCCGCCGTTGTTGCTACTGCATTTGTGCCAATTTAAAATTTTAACTTATTCCCAAAACGGAAACTTGCTTTTTGAATTTCAGCTTAGTTGGAGCTGCGTTGGAGCTGAGTTGAAGCTGATTGTAAGTTACTTCCGCAAAATATCTTTGTTGCTGTTTTTGTTGTTGTTGTAGAAAGATACAATTGCAATCTTTCGAGTAATTTTAGCGAATTTTTTTGCTTTCATACTTTAATCTCGTTAAATATTGAAGCGGATTACTATGGTTGCGAATTAAGCAACTAATAATAATTTCAAAATGCGAAAGAGTTGAAATTATATAAAATTAATTGTTCAAAATTTTAAATTTAATCAACAATATTTAAGGGCTATGATAAGTTCTCCAATGAGGTTAAGAAATTCACCTATTTAAATTTAAATTTGTTTGTGTAACTTAATGAATTAACATAAAACTGAATATCGGTGCTTAAATTCACCAATTAACCATACGAGAATTCAATACATAATGACAACAGCAATACACATTTCGAGAACAATTTTGTTTTTGACATTTTATAGTGTTACCATGTTACCCGATTAACAAGCTCGTTACTCGAGATCGTGAATATCCCTCATGCAAAACATAGTGTGTTTCCACCTTATGACCACAATTTATAATTGGCTTTTGTATTGACACTTACTGTTGAACATTTTTGGAGTCAGTGATTTACAGAAAAACACTCAACACACACTTTCTTAAGTAAATCTAACAGCTACCGAAGTAGAACTATTTTTCATGGAATTTTATAATATTATAATGATTACAAATTCCTGATTTCTCATCTTAGCTGAAACAGAGAAGTCAACACCTTTCCGACATTAAATAAAAACAAACAAAAATGAATTCAGTTGGCAAATATTTTCAAAAGAGGCGCCTCAAATCGATATAGCTCGATACAGTATTGAGACGCGGTTGGCCATTCGTACTGAGTTTAATAAATGCGTTCATAAATGTTTTCAAATGTGGTAAATGTCGAAAAAAGTGTATTTATAGCAACGACAAATTATCGAAAACAGCCACAACGATGGTGGCAACAATAGCCCTGATTTTGCTTTCCTCCTTTAAATATGAAAAATTCTTTTGAGTTTCGTTGCTTTTCTGTTTTTCCCCTTTTTTATAGTAAAAATTTTATTATTGAAATGCCTTGAAGCGAAAAGAGTTTGTGTTGCCAGCAACAGTCGCTACATTAACATTAGGAACAGAAACGCAACAACAGCAATATGAAGAAAAAAGTTAAAATCGAGTCAAGCGGAAGCACCATAATGGCTGCTGCTCTTGCCGCCATTGCCATGGTCATTGATTTGAGCCCGCCGTACGCGTTGGCAAATGTTATTCACTTTCAATTGCTGTTGTTTTAGATTCAATGTTCCCAAAACTCCATGCTGCCATTGCGGCCCTATACTTTCCACTTCTTTAATAGATTTTTCTTCAATTTTTAAAATCAATAGGACGATAAGTTAAGGTTTAAAGTACCACCACCAATGCTGGAACATGAGCGGCAAGAAATACAGAAAAATCCTGGGAAAAAACGCCAAGTTGCAGTGGTTGGCATTGTTGGCCGCCAGCTGACGCCATTGAAATTGAAACGAACTTAATTTGTTCACATAAATGAACACAAAGGGCAGCTAAAAGTATTTCACATTAAGGAGGAAAGTTACAAGATTGAAATGCAAAAAAAAGAAAAATCTATAAATTAACTAAGTAGTATTGAATCAGGCATTTATTCCGTTTACTGAACGTTTTTTCACATTTTCTACAAGCCTTGCCGAAATGTGATTAAACTCCTATTATTATTCTTTAGTGACTATCGTCAAAAAACGTTTTTCGAATTTTTCAGCCTCATCAACTTCGTAGGTTAGGTTAGGTTAGGTTCGGAAGGCGCGTGCTGACAGTTGTCAGCTCTTCCACTCGGAGACAAACCGATTAATTTCATAAAGCAATAGTTTTTTTTCAAATGTTGAAGTTGTGTTTGCAATCCTTCTGTTAGAAGATATAAGTCTAAGTGTTCGCCTAACATAGATCAACTCTTAATACTCTGTGCCATAATTTAATTAGATCAATAGGATAGCACAGATCATAACTCTGTAAAGATATTTCTGAAATGCTAAAAGAACCTTTAAATAATTATGCATAATTAATCAGTAGTGATTACAAAGTACACTCATACCTCGGTTAATGACCCTTACTCGTTCCAAAAAAGTTGGCCGTAAAACGAAATGCCGTTAAACGAAACAAGTAATTCCATACAAATGTATGGAAAATAATTAAACTGGTTCCAAAAGAAAAAAAAGAAAAATAAATTAATATTTTATCACTAAATCTAATATATATTTATTTACTGATATATATATTTTTAAGATTGCTTAAGAAATAAACGTCATATTAACTGTTTGACTTAATTTGTTGCTCTTTAAGAACTTTTTTTATGGTTACATAGCTTCATTAACTTTTTTGGCAACGTCCGAGCTTTGATAGGGAAGTGAATTTGCAATTTTATCAAAATACTTCTTCAGAATTTGGAATGTTAATTTAACGCTATTATCTGATATGGTAGCCTTTTTCTCATCGAAGTCAACTGGATCATCTAGCTTTAGGAGTTTCTCATTCGTAAGCTGTTCTCTGTCATTTCTTAAAAGTTGATATGACCTGTTTTTTGATATGTATTTTGTCTGCATACTAATAATTTACTCAGAGCAACTCAAGCAAGTCATATATACTATACATAAGTAAAATAATATTATATATAAATTGTATAATGTTTTTGGTCGCTAAACGAGGTATTTTTAGGTTGCTAAGCGAAACGTCGTCATAAATATGGTTGGGCCATTAAGTAAGTTTGCCCTTAAACGAGGCGGCCGTAAACCGAGGTATGGATGTAGGTACAAGAAGGGAAGTAGGGAAGTCTTGGAGGGAAGTAAAACGAACTGCAGAAGGATTCTTAAAAAATAAGATTTTGCTCTTATCTATATCATATTACACAAATCAATTATTATATATATGTATATTAGGGTGGCCGTTATATGTATGTGGGCAAAAAAATGTGTTCAAATTCTAGATGCCACCCCCTAAATTTATTCGAATACTCAAAAAACTACTAAATGTGAAGTTTTAGACTAATCGGATAATGTTTAGAGGTCGCTCATCGACCTTAAACTTTGGAAAAATGCCATTTTTTTACTTATTTCAAATTTCTTCGCTCCCATCTCGCGTATTTTTCACCTTTGATTATTTGTACCAAATTAATATTATTCTTTAACATATTAGCTTTCAAATAAGGTAAAAATCAATCAGTTTCGTCCACAATTAACTAAATTATTACTAAAATAAGAAATCATAGTCGACGTTTATTGAAGCTTTCAAGAGCAGCATAAATATGGGAGTAAATACGAGTACGTATGAGCGAATGTACAGTTTCTTGGACACAAAATGGTACAATATAATATTTGAAGACAATCAAATACTTCCTCACTATATATAATTGTCCACACTTGATTTGAATAATATGCTCAAAATAGAACAATAAATATAATAAAAGGAAAGGAGTCCTTAAGTAAACAAAAGAAATTCTCTTAGGTGTTAAAGATGAAATAAAACTTTTTGTTACAAAGAACTACAAAAATCAATTTGCAGAGAAGACTATAAAGAACTATTGGAACTAGTTATCATCTCTTTGGGAGAAAGTTCATCACCAATATTCCGTGACCCTGGACCAATGCACCATGCTCGTTGGATGTCCAAAGCCCTTTACAGTTTAAAGATATATTTATTTCGAAATGAGTTCATCTTTCGAAGAGCAAAAGCTAAAAGAAATCTGTTTGTTCATAATACATGTTTACGTAACATATTGGTTCAAATGTGTTATAGCATCAGAAGCAGCTTACAAAGATTTTTGTTTTATAAAAGAAATGTATAATTATAGATGTATTGATAAGACAATATCTGAGGCTGCTATTAAGAAGATGTGTAACCATTTATGGTATTTATGAGATGAATACATTGGTCTATCATTTTTTGATGACAACATTCCAATTAAAATTATAAAAAGTATGGTAAATACGTTAAAAAAAATTATATCAATGAATGTTGAAGTAGATAGTGGTGATAAAATGAAAGCCACGACAATGTGGACGATATTAAAAAAGACGGAGAAAAACGAATTCTTTTGAAGATGGAGAATGTAACCGATTTTTTATCGAAATCACTAGAGGATTTTGTGACAGCCAATACCATTAACTTTTTTAAGCGATTAAATATAAATACAGATTTCTTGAACCTA